TATTTACAGCTAAACGTGTGATTGCAAAAAAATATTTTCAGCTAAACCATAGAACTTCTGCTTAATAATAATAATACTTAGCACTTAAAAAGCACTTTACATCTGCAAAGTGCTTTATAAACATTAACTAATTAATTGTTAACAACACCCCAGTGAGGTAGGTAAGTATTATTCAAGTATTCTCTTGAATGTTCAAGCCAGGATTACAGCGAATCCAGAGTGGATTGTTGCATATGTGTGTGTGTGTGTGTGTGTGTGTGTGTGTGTGTGTGTGTGTGTCCTGCTCCACTCTTACTAAATACAGGACTTTGGATTGTCTTATAAATGGGAAGACAACTCATCCGGGGAACGTTTGAAGCCTTTCCAAAACTATGGTTTTGGAGTTTCCTCAATAGAACTAAAACTCGGATATGGCTTCTCTAAATCTTGCAGGAGTCTGAAGTAACTGGGTAAGGAGGGGTTTGTGCACAGGAAGTCAACTACTATCTCCCTTTCCACATTCTTCACTGATTAGTGTTTTGGTTCTCCCCTTACTGGATAAGAAGGACTAAAATCTCACTTCTAGAAGAATTTTGCTCAGTAGTCAGGGAAGGGTAGGCACATTAAGACATGGCCCAGCATGGAAGAGACTGGCATCCCATCCCCAAGGATAGGGAAGACATGCCCTCTGAGAGCGAGTGGTAGGTGCTGGAATAGTGAGTTCAAGTGCTTTAGAAACAAGGGAAATAAGTATCAAAGGCCAAGGGAGGGCCTTGTTACAGCACAGCATTTGAGTTGCCCCTGCAAAAGGGTCAAGGTGGACACTCAAAATGCCTGTGATGTATTACTTCCACTGTTATTTGGCTGAAGCACTACAACCACAACAAATGAAGGCCACTCCTGAGCACTGGTCTCTTTTCTGGGTCAGGTAACATACTGCCAGAAATGACCTTGGCTTTTTCATTGATTCCTTTGTTTACTCATTAATAATAGCTATTGTATACTGAGCATTTTCTCTGTGAAAGGCACTATGTTGAATTCTTTAGTTTTATTTGGTCATGGAATCTTCACCACAATCCCCTCAGGAACATTCTACCATTAACCTCATTTAAAGATCAGTAAAATGAGGCTTAAAGAGTTAAGTAACTAGACTGAAGTCACACAACTAGTAAGAGTCAAGACTAAAACCCAGAATCTTAGGTTTGCGATCCCACTCTTTGAACCAAACTCTATATTTTCTCCCATTGATTCAACTACTATTTGAGTATACTCCTGGCCTAGAAGTAGGTTTTTGATGTAGGTACTGAGCAAACAGACATGAATTTTGCCATGGTAGAGAGACCAACATTAAAAATATATATATGTTATTTCAAATTAGAATCAGTATTGTGAAGGAAAAATCAGAGTGGTGTGAGAGAAACAGGAAACATAATTTAGATCAGAGAATCAGAGAAAGTCTCTCCAAGTATAGGGTGTTTAAACTCAAACTTGAAAGATGACAGGAGTTAGCCAGGCAAAGAAGGAGTAGAAGAGCATTCCAGGCAGGGGAAGGACAGATGGGAAGGCCTGAGGTGGCAAGGAGTTCAAGAAACTGACAGAATAACACTGCCGAGAGTGGATCAGGATCCAGGGGAACAGGCACATGAGAGGAGGTCAAAGAGGAGAACAAGGGCTGGATCATCACACAAGGCCTGATAAGCCATATGTAGCAGTTAACATTAAGTTCAGCTGCATATAACCCAAACACAAAATAACAGTGGCATGAAGAAAACAGAAGCTGATTTCTCTTACTCATATAAGAAATCCAGAGATGGGCAGACCAGGACTAGTATTGCAGCTTCATAGCATTCAGGACTAGGATTTCTTTCATCTTTTTACACTATCATCTAGCAAGTGGCTTGCACCTGACAGGTCCTGTCATGATCCAAAGAAGTTAGTGGAGATCCAGCCCTCATATTTGCATTCCAGGCAATAGGAAGGAAGAATGAAGGAAGGGCCAAAAACATGCCCCACCTGAGATTCCTTAAAGGACCCTTCCTAGAACTTCCAGACAACATTTCCACTTACATATCTTTGGTCAGATCTGTTACATAACCATACCTGTTTTTGCAAGGGAGGTAGGAAGTGTAACCGTGTAACCAGGCAGATTCTAGTAGGAAAGGGACAGGAATGGATATCATGAAGGTCACCAGAGTAGTATCTGCATAATAATGGTGACACAGTGTTTGGACCTTATGGTAAGTATAATAGAAAGCTTATGAAAGGTTTTAAGAAGGGAAGTAACATTACCTAGTTGGTGTGTTTACAAATGCTGGCTTCTTTTGTGACAACAGACTACATGCAGTTAGAAGACATTGGCTAGAAGCTATTGCAGTGATCCCAGAAAAATGCTGTGGATTTGATAAAGGCAGGATCATTCGAAATAGGAAAACATAATGAAATTGAGCTATGTGTTGAAGAGCAAAAGAATAGAAATGTTTATAAATTGGATATGGGACTGGAACTGTAGGATCTTTCTGGGATAATGCCTAAACTAGTGGCATGTGCAGCCATATGGTGGAGGTACCGCTTACAGATATGGGAAATACTAGAGAAGAAAAAGATTTGAGTGGGGAGGATGAAAAAGATTTCAGTTCTGGACGTCTTAAATTTAAAATGCAAGTGAGATATCCAACAGAAGATTTAAAGTAGACAGTAGACAGTTGGACATCCAGGCCCAGAACTCAGAAGAGAAGCTGCAGCTAGAGATAGACATTTGGGAGCTATTGCATGTAACTGGCCTTTAAATCACTGGGAGTAAAATAAGTTCTCTTTGGGAGAGAATATAAAATAGAAATGAATATCTGGGGAAGACAACAGTTAGGACCAGGTAGGGAAAGAAGGGCAAGCGAAGTAGGCTGAAGAATTGACCAGGAATAGGGAAGGAAACCCAGGAGTGTGTTATTGTGGACATCAGGAGAAGAGAGTATCACAAGAAGAAGGGAGAAGCCAAGTTTGACAAATGCTGCCAAGAAGGGATCCAATAAAATGAGAGCTAAATAGTCAACATTAGAAGTAGCAGCATAGAGGTCACTGATGACTTCTTCCAGAGCAACCAGGAGAGGTGGAGAAGATACCTGGGATGTATTGAAGAACAACTTGTGTGCTGAGGAAGTGCAGGAGGAAACATTTATACAAACCTTCAGTGTGGTCTGGCTGTGTACTAGAGTTAGGGTAGTAAGTGGAAGGGGTATGTGGGGTTAATGGAAAATACTTGAAGAGTGAGAGCTACTAATGCTTGCTTGAAAGTCAGTGGAAAGGATATCGTAAGGAGGGAATGGTTGAAGATGAAGCAAATAAAAACAGGGCTCATCAATGAAGAGCACTGCCCAAGAAAGGGACTAGAACATGTATCTAGAACATATATGGATTTTTTGACTGAAGAGGGTATACCCTTTTTAATGTTATAGGTAGGAATCAAAAGAGACAAAAGTGGGATCTGATATGTTTATGGTTATGGTGGAGATAAAATTATGGAAGTCTTCAATGGCTTCAATATTCTCTGTGGAAATGTGAATTACAATGACAGTAAGAAAACTTTTCCCATCTATCAGATAGGTAGAGATTAAAAAAAAAAAAAGAGTAGGCCAGGCACAGTGGCTCACGTCTGTAATCCCAGCACTTTGGGAGGCTGAGGCTGGTGGATCACTTGAGGTCAGGAGTTCGAGACCAGCCTGACCAATATGGTGAAACCCCGTCTCTACTAAAAATACAAAAATTAGGTGGATGTGGTGGCCTGTGCCTGTAGTCCCAGCTACTCGGGAGGCTGAGACAGGAGAATTGCTTGAATCTGGGAGGAAGAGGTTACAGTGAGCCAAGATTGTACCACCACTGCACTCCAGCCTGGGAGACAGAGCAAGACTCCATCTCAAAACAAACACACAAACAAACCAAAAATGGGTAGCATGCTGTGGTGGCAAGCCTGAAGATACAGGTAGTCCTGTACACTGCTGGAGGGAGTGTAACTTAGTACAATCTCTGTGGAGAGGAATCCAACAATATCTATTAAAACAGCAAGTGACACACCATTTTACACATCCATAATACTTCTAGGAATTTATTTTATAAATATATCAACACATACGCAAAATGATGTAGGTTTCAATGTATTCACTATTGCATAATTTATACTAGCAAAATACTGGAAGTGACCATCAATAACAGACTGGCTAAATAAAAAATGCATCCATATAATGGAATATAATAACATCATCTACAAAAATAAAAATTCTATGTAATGAAGTCAATTTATTTCTGATGTGTGGTTAAGTAAAAACAAAAATCAAAGTGCTACCATATATGTAAAAGAAAAGAGAGAGAGGAGAGAATATGCATATGTAATATTTGCTTTTATACATATATAAGTTGTCTCTGGAAACATACAACTGAAAATATTGGTGGCCCATTGGAAGGAGACTGGAATTATGAAGAAATAAGGTAAAATGTTGATTTTCAGACCTTTTGAATTTTGAACAATTTGAATGTATAGCTTAGACATAAATAAATGAAACTGTGTTTAAATGATGTTGGAGAAAAAAACGTGCATATATGTATTTTGAGTCCTGGTAGTCCACTGAGGTGGAAGACAGGGATGATAGAAGAGGAGGAGAGGAGATGATGCATTTGTCACTGAGGAGATGGAGAGAGCAATCCTACTGGATACAGAATTATAGGGGAAATGCTGGGCAATGTTGAAAGCCCAGCTGAGGGTAGTGAAGGTGAATTTACAGTGGAAATAACCTGTTTGGTCATATGATGATTCTCTTTCCCTCTTTCTTTCTCTTCCTCTCCTTTTCTCTTTCTCTTCTTTCTTCCTTCTCTTTCTCTCTTCTTTCTTTATTTCCTTCTTTCTCTCTTCCTTCCTTTCTTTTATTTCTTCTTTCTTTTCCTTCCTTCCTTTCCTTTCTTCCTTCCTTCCTTCCTTCCCTCCCTCCCTCCCTCTCCCCTCCCTCTCTCTCTCACTGTTTTCCTTCCTTCCTCCCTTCCTTCCTTCCTTCCTTCCTTCCTTCCTTCCTTCCTTCCTTCCTTCCTTCCTTCCTTTCCAGCAATGTTTGGCTGTTTAATTATAGGCACAATCACAGTATATTGCTGGGCCTCTCTAGAGGGTGCATTTTCTGGGCAGGTGGGAAGAAAGAAAAACGGGGAAGGGTATTTATAAATCGTGAATGTGATAAGTTAGATACATGACATGTGGAGGTGACAGAAAGAAAGTGAAGGAATTGAATTATTCAGGTTGCAATGAGGTCCAAAAGAGTTGTAGAGAGGCTCTTGAGCAGGTGAGCTATAAGGAGAAAGTTACTTTTTCAGTTCCTTGAATGAGAAAAGGATAGTTTTCCTGTTGCAGGATGTTATTAATGGGAAATGGTCAGATGAAGAATAAGGCAAAGAGAGATGGGGGTAGGACACGTGGGAGTCATGAGGGTGCAGCCCAGAAAGGGTTACAGAATACAGAAAGAATGGGCTTCTCTGGATCATGACCAAGGCATGGCTGACTTTGTCTACAAACAATCAAGTGTAGGCTCTGTAGGGAAATGTTGGTAAGGCTTTGTGCTTGAGATAACTGCAGTCCAATGGCTCAACTTGGAGAGGAGAGGGTTACAAGAAGATTTCTTAAACTGTATTGAAAATGGAAAGAGGGTCCTTAGTCATATAAAGAATGGCAACTCTATGGTCAAAATAATTTCACTATCAAAAAAAAAACACTGGCCTTTGTTCATTTGAGAAAGGAAGCTCCACAAAGGGACTCCCATGAGACCAGTTACATGATAACCACTATCAAACTAACAATTCTAAAACTGATTTGACCCTGAAATTCCCAAACTCACATGCTTCCAGTGGCTCTAGACTACCCACAGAATAAACTCCAAACTCTAAAGAACATGGTAAGAAAACTTCTACCCTTGCCCCAGCCTGCTCTATCCAGGCTGAACAACTTTGATATCCCACTTACATTCATATAGATGCATTCATAGGGCCCAGAATATTCATTATTATACCTGCTTCCACACTTTTTCTCAAGTCACTGGCTCACTTGAAATAATCTTCCTCCCTTCTATCTAAAGGCAACATTTCCAAAGCCCATGCCAAGCCCCACCTTCCCCTCCAGAGCCATCTGTCCAGAAACTTACAAAGCTGAAGAACACAAAGAGCAGCCCAACTTCCAAAAATGGTTCCAGTTCTGTTGGCCAGAAGCCTAGGGAGCAAACTTCGTTCATTCATTTGCATTGAAGGGAAAGCAAGCACTGGACTCAGGTCTCCCCAGAGGGTTGTAGGCAAGAGAAGTGCCTTTCCATTTTTCAGGGGAGCAATTTCAAGTCCTTGAAGATCAAGTTTAAGTCATTTCCTGACCCTACACCAATACTGTTTCTCCACAACTCCAGCCAGGTTCAACTCCTCTGGAAGTCTCAAATGTAGTTTCTGAGTTAATAATTCCTTCCAGCTTTGATGTCTTTATTTGAAAGTTCCAGAAGAACAGAGTGTTTTTTAAAGGAAATGGGAGAAGTCATGCTCAAGGGGGGCATTATGGTAGACAGAAAAGAGCTGTAACTTTCAAAAATGCATCTGGATGAATGAGACTAACTTCCTATGACTAATGTCCCCCAAACATTAAGCTAATGATTAAATTAAAAATGTAAATCCCTGAGATGTCATATGCTGCTGGGCGGACTGATGGAAAGGAGCCTTGCAAACAGTCCCAACATTGTGTGGGGAGCTGGAGAGGAGATGTGAATGAAAACAACAGAGAGCCATATGGTCCTAGCCAATGGTCAACAACCAAAAATTCAAAATCCAAGGACAGAGAAAACTCCACAGCTATAGAGCAATGTGTTTCTCCTACTCTCTCTTTTATTCTGGCACTTATCCGGATGCGCTAACATGATGGGGGATGGAGAACAGAGCTATGTCTCAGGAAGCAAATCTGTAGGCATCTCTCATAGAGCTCTGCTTGGCAAGCTGTGTGACCAGTAGTGAGCTCCACCTACACAGACAATCACCACCCCAGGAAAATGAGTAGGTGCGAGATTTGTGTGAACTTGCAACAGCCATAAAGTTCTGCTCATTGATCCTCTATCTGTCCGTTAGAAATGAGACCAGTCCCCAAAAATCAAGGGGAGCCTGAAGTTGGCAGGATGTCCCAGGAATTCCAGCAAAGACTCAATACAGGACTCCTGTACCTTGGTGGCAACAGTGACTGAGGCAGTTCTGCTTACAGCATAGAGGAGACTTAGCAATCCTGTATCCTCTCAGGGTATGAAAATTGTAATTACTTGATTTTAGGTACCTTTTTTCCAAACTCCCTCTGAGCAAGTAGCTGATTGTGTCCCATTCTCTTCAACATACAGTATCCTCCCTTATCCCTGGGGGATACATTTCTGGATCCCCAGTGGATGCCTGGAACTCCAGATAGTATGGAGCCCTATATACACTATGCTTTTCCTATATATGCCTATGATGAAATTTAATTTATAAATTAGGCACAGTAAGAGATTAACAACAAAAATAATAAAATGGAACACTCATAACAATGTGTTACCATCACTACTGTTTGCACTTTGAGGCTGCCGTTATTAAGTAAAATAAGGGTCACTTGAACATGAGCACTGCAATGCCATGACAGTTGATCTGATAACTGAGATGGCTACTGAGTGACTAATGGATGGTGAATGAAGACACCATGGATATTCTGCACAAAAGCGTGAGTCACATCACAGGTGGGACTGAGCAAGACAGCACAAGATTTCATCACACCACTCGAAACAGCACACAATTTAAAACTTATGAATTATTTCTGGAATTTTCTATTTAACATTTCAGACCACTGTTGACTACCGGTAACTCAAACCACACAAAGCAAAACTTCGGATAAAAAGAAACTACTGTATTTATACCTGTACAGCAGGGATTCTCAATCCGGCATTGAAGACCTTCTAGACAGTCTGAAAAGCCTCTGACATTGTATGCAATATCTTGCACCTATGAGCATTTCAGGAGAAAAAGGTCATAATTTTTATCCAATTTTCAAAGAGATTTATTAACTAAAATTGGTTTAAAACCATCAGTCTGCTTATGTAGCCAAGAAATGATGGTCTTACTTACAGAGAATATGAGATATTTTCTAGATATGTGAAGAACATTATAGTAGAAACTTATTAGAATCTGTTGCTTTGGTACAGAAACACCCACATTATAAACCCTCTTTTTTATTTTTGTTTTTGTTTTGTTTTGTTTTGTTTTGTTTTTTTGAGACGGAGTCTCGCTCTGCCGCCCAGGCTGGAGTGCAGTGGCCGGATCTCAGCTCACTGCAAGCTCCGCCTCCCGGTTCACGCCATTCTCCTGCCTCAGCCTCGCCACCGCGCCCGGCTAGTTTTTTGTATTTTTTAGTAGAGACGGGGTTTCACCGTGTTAGCCAGGATGGTCTCCATCTCCTGACCTCGTGATCCGCCCGTCTCGGCCTCCCAAAGTGCTGGGATTACAGGCTTGAGCCACCGCGCCCGGCCAACCCTCTTTTTTAGAGTAAAAGCAATACAATACGCATTCTTCTGCAGGGTATGTAACTTGATCAGAACCCATGCTATCAATATGGGCTCTTTAAAGAGGTATTATTTTTAGTGTGATTAATGAAAACAAAAATGTCCAGACGTACCCAGAAGTCATTCTGATAACTTTATAAACAATATTAAATTACAGACGTTATATGAGATATTACAAGCATGTCATTCAATGCACCTATATCTGTATAGTATACTGCATATTATTAATATAGTCATACAATTTTAGAGTTGGAAGAGACCAAGGATGCCTCCCTTTCTGTGCAGAAGTAATTAAGACCTAAGGTTACAGAAAGAGTCCTGCTCCAGAAGAGCCTCATCTTCTGAATTAAGCCCAAGGAAAGAGCTATCAAGGGTCTGAAACTATGGAAAAGCTGGGCCAACTTTCCTGGAAGACAATCTGGCATTTTCTTGGGGGTGCCATGGCTTTGTGTCCTTCCCTCCATTTCCAGAAGGCTGCTCCCACAGGACAATGCTTGAGCAAGCTGTGCTGAGGGTGGCAATTTCTATAAACATGGTTTGTTTTTGTTTTTGTTTTTGCTTTTTGTGTTTTGAAATTTCTACCCTTTCTCTCCAATGACCACTTTCATTTAAAAAATGCTATGCATGAGCTAGCCAGCCAGTCACCTCCTCATAAGGAAGAGCAGAGAGTCCTTGCATTTAGTGGTAGGAGGAGTAAGGTTAGCATGCTTGTCCTTGTTTTCCTTCACCATCTAGGGCTCTGGTGGGAATGGGGAGTCCTGAAATCTTATACAAAGAGAGGTGTTATTCCCAAGGCGGCCACCATCAGCGGTCTCAGCAGAAACCTCAAGCTGATCTTAAAGTTAGGCTGGTCTTTCACATTGACATTTTTTAAGAGTACAGGCCACTTATTTGTAGCATGTCCTTCAACTTCAGTTTGCCTGATGTTTCCTCATGATTAGGTTCAGGTTATGCATCTGAGGCAGGCGTCCTCAGTGCATCACACTGTCTTTCCACCCTCCTGCTCTCTGTCTCAGACCTGAGCTGTGCATCAGGACTACAGAAGGCGATTCTCAGAGACACCAGTAAGATAGTAGTGTGCCAGGCTTCTAACTCACAATGACCAAGTATGAACTTCCTGAGTTGATATCTTTGCCAACCCACCCCCAGTTCCTCATTCAAGCAGTATGATTTTCAGTTCATTTCGAGTTTCTTGGAGATGGCCTATAGCAAAAGCATTGCAGCCTGGCAGGCAAGAGCGGGCAGGGAGGAGGACTCTGCTGAAGGGGCAGTTGCCTCTGTCCAGAACTTGCACCCTTCTAGGCTGACTGTGGCAGTGATAGAGTGAAGGGTCACCTCACTCTTGTTTTTTCCTGTTCAAGTCCAGCAATCTAAGGTACCTTCGGAATAACCCTCATCAGGGATGGGTAGTCAACACCTACTTGGGTAACTTGTTACTAACCACCGATCACCTAATCATTCCAGGGCTTTTTCTTGAACATTCAGTCCCAATCTATTATTCATCTAGGCAGAGCCAGATGAAGGGACAGAGGAGACCTAGTTGGAAGCATGAGATCAAGATAGCCCTCGGCAAAACTGTGGAGACTAAATAGCTTGTTTTCAACGACCTCTGCTCTTTCCACTTTCTTTCCCCTTTTTCAAAAATAATTTTCTCCCTGGGGCCTAAGGCTCCCAAGCTTTTCTGAGTAAAGAAGATATTCACACTAAAATGCTGGGTGCTTTCTGCATATTCAGAGTACTATGCACAGTTTTTTTAACAGAAGGTCTCTTTTTTATGGTGCCAATATTATCCAAAAATAATAGCTAGAGAATGGTAGAATGTCCAGCAGCAATGGGGGAGCTATTTTGGGCCTTCTAAGCACCCTTCAAATCATTCCAAGGAGACCACATACTGCCTACATGAATCTGAAACTGGTCAGCAAAGCCTTAATAGCTGCACTTGGAGCTGCTGCTCTTTCTAGCAATCCTATGTCCAAGAGAGCTCTCATGAGGAATGAGGAGAAATATTTGCAAAGAGTGTGCTCAAAAGATCACTGGATTAAACACAATCCACTCCACCATTCAATCTGTTTAATATGTTGGTTACTTTATCTCTCAGGACTCCAGTTTCTTCATTTAAAAAATGAGGGGTGGTCTGGCTGGTTGATCATGAAGATCTTTCAGCTCTGAATTGCTGAGATTTTTATATCCAGACCTACTGTGATCAAAGCATTCAAAGAGCTAGAAATCACAAGTAGCATAAAATTTTAAAGTTAATAACTTGTAGAGTTTACTATGTGCTATTCTAAGTACTTAACCTGAATCAACTCATTTGATCCTTATAATAACCTCCGAAGTTGTGGCTCTTACCATCCCCATTTTACAGATGAGGAAACTGAGATGTGGATCACTTAGCTAGGGAACTGCAAAACAAGAATTTGACCACAAACAGTGTAACTGTTCATGTTGTGGACCACTATGTTATGTTACTCTCAAAGTGGGGGAAAAATGTTTGCCACAGAGGAATGAGGTCAGTGGGATGGGGCTGGGGGCAACAGGAAAGAGGGTTAAGGATGCTGGCGACGAGGGGTGATTCTGCTACCCTAACTGAGGTTCACACACCCTGATGGGAGCTCATGGCAACAGAGTCAGACCCAGCCTGTCTGAGGGTATGGAATTAGCTCCCTTGCTGACAGATGAAGCCTCAGAAAGCCTGTGGACACCTCTCAGCAGAACTGGCAAGCAGAGAGAGGTTCCTCGTGGCCTGTTGTGTGGTTTGTGCCATCCTGCACCCAGCTCAGCTTCTCCAAGCCAGTCCTGTTTGGGCTAGCTGCTGCCAGGCCAGGATGATTTCAGAATCCAAGGACCTGAGAGTTGTTCTGAATTCCTTTCCCCTGAAACTCCCCAGGCCTGATCACACATAGACACACAGATCTCTAAAAGAACATCCAAGAAGGAAACTCTTTCTCCCCTTTCTGGAATTCTGATGGCAAATAAGCAAAGGTATATGTGTTGTTGTGACTATGCAAGACAGACAAAGACAGATAGACAGACAGAGACAGACAGACAGACAGAGAACCGACTCTCAAATAGCATGGAAGCTTGTTTAAAACTTTCGGTTTAAATAAATGCAGATTCTATTCTGGTGTTTGGGAGCCTCTGTTGGTATCTTAAAATCAGTGTTTTAGCTCCACCTAACTTTTACAGTTTTTTTTTTTTTTTTTCCTAGTTACAGTCTGGCATAAAAGTGTCAGTTTGTTATGTGGGTGGGTAATGGTATGCTTTTAATTAAGGAGGTAGAGACTAAATTAAACCACATCAACTGGCTAGTGTTTCTTTAATTTCAGATTGTGGGTCCCTTACCCTAAGCATAAGGAGTTGGGCTAGATCATGATTCCTCTTTAATGGTTATGGCTGAAAAACTCCATCTCGTGACCAGCCTCATAATTGATTAAACACAACTGTGGACTCCCATGATCAGGAAGTGCAATTTTGCTGGTGTCGCTTCAAGTCTAAAATACCTCCAGGGTAATTACAGGCTCAGAGGCAACGCAGAAGGCTTTGAAGTAGGGAAAGAAAAGATTAGGGCATCCAGAGGATCTGTGCCTGTTCATTTGTCCTTCATGGCAAAATCTTTAAAGCCTTTGGGGAAAGATGCCTCTGTCTGGGCATAGGGGGTGGTCCAGGGGCCTGGGAGTCCTGGTCTGGTTGCAGATGTGCAGGGGATGGCTGTGTCCCAGGTCACAGCAAGCTTCAGGGGTCACAGCAGCATCCCCTAAGAAAGGCTGCCTTTTCCTGTTTGCTCCTAATGAAAGTTTCATGCAGCTCTGATTCTCTTTGCCTTGGGTTTGGTATGCCCGACTGGCCACGACTTGCACTGTCCACTTGAGGCATGGAGAAGTGCACTTTGTCTGACCAGCTAAATTATTTACCTTGATAGCAATTATCAAACACTACAAGCCACACTCTAAAGGCCTCTTTGCAGTTCACGCAGAGAGAATATAAACCTTATTCAGAAATGGAGAGAGTGGAGGACTCTTCTTTACTTTTTAATTAATAATAGGTTAGAAGTAAAAACCATTATTAGTGACAGTACATAATGGGAAAGCGAGACCTGCATTGTTAACAGGACTATTTAAGGAAATGTTAATGAATTGAATTTGAAGTTCCTCATAGTCAACCTGGAGACAACTAATGGTTTCGAAGTGGAAAAGTGAAGAGTTATTAAATGTTGTATATTTATTGCACTAATAATCAGATTGCCAGAGGCTGGCAGAGATGCAAATATTGGTCCACATCCTGTTTAACCATTAGCTGTGGAAACGCAAGAGATTCACTGGGGGGAAGTTAGCGCATACAAACATTTGCCAATGCCACTGTGATGAATGGTGTGTGGATTAGGACCATAGCTACTCCAATCCCACGAAAGCCCATTTCAGCAGAGGATAGAATCATAACTTAATT